TCACCAGCAGCTGTCAAAGCTTGTCCAGGAAGCCCCAACCACTGCAATGAGGGAAGAACTGGAGAGGGAACTTGAGGCACTGGTGGGGAAGATGGAAGCAAAGGCAGACCAAATCAGCAAAGTCCGGAGGCACCGATTACAGGTGAGTTGCTCTTGACTGTGTTTGTGCTTCTGCAGAGCTGCTGTCTCGAGGTTTTCTTTTTTTTATGTTGTATCCTAATCTAGCAGCAGTTGAATAAAGCAGAAATAACTACTTTAGAGCAGTAATGCCTGGCTCTGGCTTTGATGTCTCAAAGTTAGTCTGTGTACTTCCACCTTTGCATCCCAGTATTTCTGCAGAAGTAATCTTTCTTACTGTGTCACCCTTGTGCCCTCTCTTTATCCTGTCCTGGGCAGAGCTTTCCCCTTTCCCATCTGTTCATTTACTGTATTTTACACTCCCTTCATCCCTTGAATGTTTTAACTGTTCTCCTTTGCTTGGAGTAAATGACCTTTTTACGTATTGATTTGCACTGTATAAAACCTGAAGTACTGTTTCATAGAATCATTGAATGGTTTGGGTTGGAAGGGACCTTAAAGCTCATCCAGTTCCAGCCCCCTGCCATGGGCAGGGACACCTTCCACTAGACCAGGTTGCTCAAAGCTCCTTTCAAGATTTTTTGAATGGCGTGGCCTGTTCATTCAAAGCCATAGAACCTGTTGGTTACTTATTTTCCCTAATTTTCATTCATTTTAGTGAATTTCTTCCGAGGAGCTTAACCTCGTGTTTAATCTGGTTAAGCTCATATGAACCAAGATTCACCCTCACCTGATGTAACTTGCACACAAAATACGTACTGGAAGCACGGCTGCTAACTTCCAGAATGGATATGTGTTTTCAGTTAGAAGCATTACTCACCTTTGATCTCAGGATCTTCAGAGGAACTGTTGCACAGAAACAGATGTGCAGTAGTTCCTGACAATAATGGGTCTGCGTAGACTGAGGCTTCTCGCTCACTACTGGTAAAAGGTCTAGGAGCTGGGATTTAAGAAAGTTGCTGCATGCTTTAACCTAGGAGGAGGGAGTGCCACTACTTGAGGAGAGGAGCCCAGGGAGCCACCACTTTGCAGTTTGAGAGCATGAATATGTGTACCTTAAACTGTCCAGTTTCCTGTTCAGGCTTCAGCCAGTTCAGTCTTTGTTGCTGAGTAATGAGTGTCACAAGCTGTGATCTCTGGTGCTGTGTGGATACCAGCTCTCCGCCTCAGCAGAGTTAGGATATTCTTTTAAAGCTACATCTCTGATGGTAACTAGCTATTGAAATCGCTTGTATGTATGTAGAAAAACTTGTTTTCTGTTTGTTTTTAAAATCACTGAATGGTACCAGTGAGAAGCCAACTTTTTGTTGTAAATTACTTCTTCTATTATCCATAATAAAGATGTTTCTTCATAATGAACTTGTTTTTAAAGAGAACTTAAAAGTTCAGAGACACAGCTGAACACAGAATGCTGTGTAAGGAAAATAAAGTACTTATGAGTCAGGGTGACTGGAAGCATCCATCTGCTGAGCTGGGTGAGATGAGCAGTGGGATATTGCAGCTGTCTGGAAGAATTGCTCAACATAAACTGAAACAAGGTCACCACTTAATGTTTTTCTTTGGGATTCTCTTTCTAGCTTGAGAGACTTAAGAGAGAATGCAAGTCCAGAAAGACTTCTGCTAAACAAGGAAAAGACAGGTTCCCTGTTAGTGAGGTTAAAGTGACAACTACAGTAACCACAAAAGGCAAGAACGCTGGTCCTATCAAAGTGAAACCTGGAGAGAAGAGTCGGAAGAACCTTCAGTTGCTGAGAGACATGCAGACCATACAGACTTCACTACAGAAAGATGATATCAGCTGGGACTACTGACTGTTCTGCAGGAGAGGTTCTTGAACCTTCTCTGTCAAACCTTCTCACATTCTGGATATAAAGCAGCTGCCTTTCTTGCTGTGTGAAAGAGACTACTGTATGCTAAGTGCACTTTTGAAACCCTTAACTCTCCATCCCTGGGTTTGATGTATGTATCATGGTCTAGCTTAAATCACAGTCCATTTTTAAGGTACCAAGCCACTGAATCTAACCGTAGGTCTGCACTAGTTCCCTTCATGCTGTGGTTCCAGCAGTCCCTACCCTTTCAGCACACCAAGCACTGCACATTTATGTGGGTTGGTGTGTGAGAAATGCCAGTGTGACTTCATGCTATGATCCAGCTGTGCAGTGAGAGTCTTCTCAAGATGCATCTTGTTGGGAAACGGTGCGGTGACCTTGAGCCCTAAGGGCTTTTGCCAACTCTGTTTTGCAGGCACCTCAGACTCTGAGTTACTGAAACTGACTGTGTAAGGGAGAACAGGCAAACCCTTCTGAAGGTGTTCTGTGGAGCTCTGCTCTAAAAGCTTTCCTAGTTAATGTTCTGCTGTGTTGCATTAGTCAGCATTAATGGCAATGGATGTCTGAGTACTCAGAAGATGAGCAAAGTATTTTACTTAATGATTGAGTTCAAGTCTGAAGAGAGAAGTTTTTCTACATGAATGCTTCTTTAAAGCTATAGGATAGGGGATAATATTCTGTCTCCTTATTCACAGCTTTGGGTGGTAAAGGAGCAAGATAAACCATGTAGGTGTTTTAAACTGCAAGTGCCTCAATCATGCCATTCAGTCCTGGCATCTTGCTTTTAACCTAAACTATGTGCTTTGAGCTGTCTGCTCTGGTAGTGGTGCAAGTAGTTTTGCACTGACTTGCACAGCTGAGTGAATGTTATTTATTATGGTAATAATTTAAAGAATTTCCTATTCACGGAATGTAACAAGACCCAGGTTACCCATTTATACATTTGACAGATAATAAAGCCAGCTTGCCTGTTGAATGAGTTGTGGGAAAGCTGCACTTCCCTCTGTCTTAGTGTTTGCTGCAGCTCTGTGCCCCGTTCCGTGGGCTCTGTGATGTGTGGTCAGGGTGGTGAAGCTGCAGGTAAGGTGAGGGTCAGAGCTGTCCATCTTTGCTTATAGCTGAACAGACTGGGACCTGTGCGGGGTCAGTGCAGGCACAAGGGATTGGTGTTTTAATGACACAAGGTTTTTTGCTATGAAGGGAGAAGGCGGCTGTTAGCCAGGCCTGGAGCCATCCCCCTTAACATCATTTATGTCGGAGACCTGGGCTCCATGGCGCTGGAGTAACCCTTTGGAGAAGAGCAGTTCATCCTGGAGGGGCTGAAAAAGCCAGGGCTTGAAACTACACTGTTTTGCTTGGGAAGGACCTTTCAGGATCAGCGTGCTCAGACATGGGTTAACTTCAGCATGACCTCAGGCTGTCTTCATGCAGCTCCTTACTTATGGAGGGCTTTGGAGGTATTTTGGACTCCATATGCCCAAGTTGCAATTAAACCTACCAGGGCTGAGAGCATCAAAGCATTGAACTGATCCGAAATCATCCCAGTGAATTTGGACTTAATGTGAGTTGCTTATGTAGAGAAATGTGGATCCTTTTACAGAGCAGTCACTGTGCTAATGCACTTGTGAAGTGCAGAAATGGTTTATTACTTACTGTGAAAGTATTTTTGTCATACTGAGCACTGTGTCTCTATTACTTCTGGTCTGCACGGAAGAGAAACTTGTCCAAAGCCGAGTTTTGTTTTCCTGTTGTTCTGAATTTGAGTTTGTTCATGAGCATTGTGCAAGAGTATCTACCGAAGAGAGAGATCTGGATTTGACAGACTCTATTTTCAGTGCTGTTTTATTCATCCATGTCATTTGGAGAACCACACAGTTGAAAACAAGAGCACAGGAACTTTACCCACTTACCCATTTTTATTAGTGTTAAGGAATTCTACAGCCTTCATTAAGAAACAAAATATACACACAGAGTCAGTTTGCTAATACAGAATAATGTTCTGAACCATCTTACGTAGTGATTGTACATACAAGCAGGTCCTGCCCTATACCCTTACAACAATTCCGAGTCCCCCAGAAGGTCTCTTGTGTGGATTCTTTGCACTATTGAACAATAACGTACATCCAAGGCCACCCTGTAACAAGTGCAGTGATCCATACAGCCTGTGATTCCTCCTGTCAGAAGGTGGCTGTGGATTTCTCTGTAAGCAGAGACACTGGTTGCAGTAGAGCAGACGGCAATGGAGACTGAAGGGGAATTACTGCTTTTGAAGGAATGTGGCTTTTGAAAGGCTATTTCTTACATGTAAGTTGATCTGCTCTTGTACTCCCTCAGAAAATACTTCCTGTTGTGGAAGAGAAGCTGAGTGAAGCAACATGGTGATGGGTGTATTGAACTGGTGAGCACAGCATGGGATCCTGTCATGAAAGAGCCATGCAGGAGCCCAGACCAAGTAGTGCCCCTCAGCCTGGAGATGAGAATCAGGCTGGAGTAAAGATCCTCACACATACAAAACTCCCTTTGCTGTCAGATATATCTTTTACAACCTTGTACTCACCTGTTTGAAAGATCAATGGGGCAGGAATGGTTTCACCTACTTGGTTTTTATCTCTACCTCTACAGTAAACTTGTGTATTAAAAATGAATTTGGACTTAAGTGTAGTCAGGTGCCACTAACTCTTGAAGTACATTATGAGGAAAGAGACCTCAACCTAGGGCTCAGAAACTGGCTGTTTTTCTGAATAAATAGCAGTTGCAATGCAGGCAGAAAGGCTTCTTTGGTTGATGCACAGTTGCTTCCATTAGTTTAGTTAACAAAACACTGAAACACCTTAAGTATGCCACTATGATCCTCCACAGAAGCATTAAAAGCACTAATTAGGCTTACCTAAGAGGAATGCAATGACTGATCCCAGCAGCTCACACGTGCCCCTCGGTGCTCCACAACCCTGTGAGGCTGAGGCACTGGAGGACAGAGGTGCTGCAGAAACCCTGGGGGAGTGGTGCTCTGCTCCCCCTCTGACAGAGAGGGGCTGAAGTTGCATCCTGCACATCCAGTGTAAACCATAAAGTTGCAGAGATGGAAGTAAACTTTGTCCTGTCGATTGCTCCTCTACCACCATCCCCTATTGGTTGAAGCTGCCATTTCTTCAGATAAGGCATCATTTACATGGCTTGCTATGGTCCAGGTCAAAGTGAAGGGAAAAGCAAGAAGGTGATATGTTCCAGCGGCTGTCACTGCTTGTCCCTGTTGGCAAATGCTCTCATGAACACTGCTGTGCAGGCACTAACACTGGAGGGTTCCTGACTCCATGGCTGTTTTCTAGGCTTCAATAGAGTCGGAGCTGATACTTCCTTTTAGCAAAGGGGAGTTTCCATACTTGTGAGTGGATGTTTTTCCTCCACTGTACTCTATCCTAGCGCACAGTCTCTCTTCAAAGCCAAGTGATTTCCACGTAAGTGAACAAAGACCGAGCTCTAGGTTTCTTTTAGGTGGCAAGTGCAATGACCTTGTATTATCATCTAGCCACTGAGAAGGTTAATTGCATAGGGGGCCTTGTTTGTTTCTTTTTGCTTAAGCTTCCTCTAGTGCTACAGTACTAATAAATTACCCTGGGGAGAAATAAATAAATAGGTTGGCATCTCCCAGACACCGCGCTGGGAACCAGAGGGGCTCAGAAATGCTGCCCCCGTGGTCCTGGGAAGGTACTTGGCACAAATAGTCCCTATCATACAACTGTCTGTACTGGAGCGACGCACTGCGCGGGAGAGCCGGCTCTCTCCGAGGATGAGGTGGAACGGTTGGTGATCTCTCTCTGCAGCTCCTCCACTTTCTTCTGCAGCTCGGCCCTCTTGGCAAGAAGCTCCTTGTAGCGATTGTGGACAGGTTCCTGCAACAAAACATGCAGCTGAGTGAGGACGAGCAGAGGCTGGAGCACATCTGCTACGGAGAGAGGGTGAGAAAGTTGGGCTTGTTCAAGCCTGGAGAAGAGAAGGCTCTGGGGGGACCTTAGAGCAGCTCCCAGTGCCTGAAGGGGCCAACAAGAAATCTGGAGAGGGGCTTTTTATAAGGGCATGTAGGGACAGAACAATGGGAATGGCTTTAAACTGAAAGAGGGGAGATTTGAGATTAGATATGAAGAAGAAATTCTTCCCTGTGAGGGAAGTGCTGAGGCACTGGCACAGGGTGCTCAGAGAAGCTGTGGCTGCCCCATCCCTGGCAGTGTTCAAGGCCAGGTTGGACGGAGCTTGGAGCAACCTGGTCTAGTGGAAGGTGTCCCTGCCCATGGCAGGGGGTTGGAACTGGATGAGCTTTAAGGTCTCTTCCAACCCAAACCATGCTGTGATTTCTATAATTTTCCCATATTCATTTCCAACCTGCTGAGTATCTTCAGCTCCTGCAGATTTCGTGAGGCAGCAGCCTCCAGCTCAGCACCCACACCAGGCAGTAGTCGGTGCTGCTGTTTCATTTGCTGGCTATTCATTTAGGCTTTTGGGTTTAGGTTTAAGCAGCATCATTGTAAGTTTCCACATTAATTCGTGTGCTTCAAAGGTGTTGAACTCCAAACCGACAGCATTAGTACCAGTAGAGAGGGAAATAAAAGACCGATCCTGGGAGGAGGCACACGTACCTGGGGTTTCATCCTGGGGTTCCAGCGGATGTAGTAGCCGACCCACAGCTCGAGGTGGCGCATGCTGGCCACGGGATACAGGACATGGTTGGAGTAGCTCACGTACAAGGGGTTAGTAAAGTCTTCCAGTTGGCTGTTGATGTAAGACCAAAGCGATACGGTCTTTTTTGGAAGGCTCTGTAAGGGAAGGGGGTGGAGGAGGCTTTATTTCCCCTACAAATCCCAGTGTTTATCTGCAGGGTTCAACAGCGTGTATACATCTGCCTGTCATTAATACACAGCCCCTTGCCTTTCTGTAGCTTCAATAATAACCCTGCTCTTTTGATGTGGTCACTGTAGGCGCAGAGGCAGGCGGAGGCACACACGCACCCTGGCACGGGAACACGCAGTGGGAATTGCCATCGGCACAGCAACAGGACACTGGCGTTGAGCTCTCACTGCTTTAGTTAAACTTCACTCTTTAAAGTGCTCCTGGGGGACTTGCTCGAGTGTTTAATTGCAAAGAAATAAAGAAAACATTTGACTTAGGCCCTGATCTAGTGGAATAATTAGGCCTGTGAATAGTCCCGGTGAAACCAGTGTGGAAGTGCTTTCTAGATTAAGTACTTCACTAGGCTGAGGCCTTAAAAAAACCTAAACCTACACAGCATGGGGGTGTTCTTCTCTGAAAATGACAATTATTCCAGCACTGTGAGCTCCAGAGGAAACGGGGACCCTGATTTCACTACAGTACAATGCTATTACAGTACAACAGGGCATTTTTTAAGCTGTTTTTCCTTTTTAACTGATGTGCTATCAGATACAACCACATCAGGTCCAGGCAGCACTGTCCTCAGTGTACCTTAGGCTCCAACCTTCTGGTGACAAAATGCTTCATCTTCAGGTCACTACTTTTCCTCCTGATTCCAGACTGGGTCTGAATGCACCCATCTAATACGGTGCTCCCTTGATAAACAAACATGGATCAGACTGCAGGGCAAAACTGTGGCAGGACCTAGAGACACGTCCTTCCCAATACTGGCAGCTCTGTCCCCTTCCTCTTGGAAAAACACAAGCACAGCAAGAACCAGTTACTTGCTGTAACCTGTGTGTGCAGAATGACAACGCACACGTGGTAGTTAAAAGCAACCTAAAGGCGCTACTTGAAGGAAAAGGGAGAACAGAAAGGTACCAGTCTGCACAGAGGAGGTTACATTAAACTGAACTTCAAAGAAAAACTGCATTTCCAACTGCCTAGGAGACACCAGGAGCTACTCAGCCATCAGTGAGTAGCTGAAAGCCATGCTGAAAGCAGCAGGACTTGTCCAGAGGAAAGTGGTAATGCTCTGAAATGTGAAGTCTCCAACAGCAGTTTGTGCAGAGGAAAATACCCCATGTCCCAGCTGTTAAGAAGAGAGCTTGGCATTACCCAGACCTGCAGCTACTCCTGTCTTTGAGCACTGAAACAACTTCTCTAGCAACATCTGGCCTGCTGAAGCAATCACAGTACCAGGCCTTCACCTTAGCGAGAAGCTGTCTTACCTCCTTCACTCTCTGCTGCTCACTGCTGCACAGGAAGGTCCCAAACAAGCAGCTGTACAGGTGGTCCAGGATGGTTATCAGGAAGTACTCATTGAACTCAAATGCTGTAGGAAACTACAGACAGAACAAGAAAGTTAGGTTGGAATTTTAGAGAGGGAATTGCAAATCAACTTTCTGCCACTTCGTGGTAAGGAGCTGTCCTCTTTGATTCCTAAAACAGGATTTGTCCCTGTTCCCTGCCTGGCTGGACAGTTGGGATCATATTTGCTCCTCCCAGAAGCAAGAGTTTCTCTCTTGGAAAGCTGCTCTACACGTGCAGCGAGGAATTTTGAGCAGAAGCCAGAGGTCTGAAGGGTTTGACCACTGTGTTTACACACACTCAGGGCTGCTTCAAGTCGAAGCCTGCTCTGCTATGCCTGCCCCTCATGACAGCCCATGCAGTGACACTGTGAGCAAAAGGCTGAAGCACATGTGAAATAATGCATAAAAAAACCTGGATATTGCCCAGAGCCAAATGGAAATCACCTGTCTGTGTAACACAGCCCTTCCCAGAGGGAACAGCAAGGAGGCATCCTGCAGCAGGGGTCAGTGGGAGGAGCAGGTGTATGGCTGGGAGCTGCGTTTGCTGATGGTGTTCCATACAGACACAACCAGACCAAAGACAGGCAGAACTGAAACTCACAAAGTGTCCATAAGAACACGTGTGGTGAACCATAAAGACATGCTGGGGCAATGGGGAGGAGAGCAGGAGGCCTCACAAACCACCCTGCTCTGCCCAGGCTGCCCCAGCCAACATCCTGGCCTCACAGCTGCATGACAGGATGCCTGCTTGCAAAGCAACCCAAGGAGAGCACAATGGGTCTTAAAATCACAGAATGGTTTGGGTTGGAAGAGACCTTAAAGCTCATCCAGTTCCAAGCCCCTGCCATGGGCAGGAACACCTTCCACTAGAGCAGGTTGCTCCAAGCCCCTGTGTCCAACCTGGCCTTGAACACTGCCAGGGATGGGGCAGCCACAGCTTCTCTGGGCAACCTTCTCTTCACAAGCTCACATTTATTATAGCAGCATGTAGTTAAGCAGCACCCACTAAGTAACAAACCCGATGCAAGCTGACATCGTGGCCTGCCTGTGACCTTGTGCATTCAGGCTCTCCCCTGAACAGACTCTGAGCAGGTCAGCTTGTTAACTGTTCCTGCGGCCAGACACCAGCTCTGCGGACATGTGTGCTACCCAGAACCCACCTGTCTCGTCATCTGCCAGACACAGTCGATGAACTGGAGGAAGACAGGAGAGCGATCTGCATCCGCGTGATTCTTGTCTCCGTGGCCAACTCTCTGAAACAGAGCAGGACAGAGAACTGAGCGGCACAGGGAAACTGCTGCGGTCTCCTCTCAGTCACCCACCCACACCTTCACCAACAGCTTTAACAAGGTTCAAATGAATCTTGGTTTTGCTTTGTCTCTCTCAGTGTGTAATGGAGTGAAGGACAGCTACTCCCTTCGTCTTTGAAGTGAAATTTCTTTATGGGGATATTTCCATGCTAAATGAAAACAGGAGTTGTTTGACTAGCGGCTCCAGATGCTGAGCTGGCACCGGTTCCAGTCAATAGCTACAGTTCAGAAGGGGAAAAAATGGGAATGCTTCTTGCTTCAGCTGCAGCTGTCGCCCTGGCTACTGCAGTAGTACAGTGTGCTAGATGTGAGCAGTACCTACAGGCACGGCATGTGGCGGGAACCATCACATAACACCTCGCAGCTTCCAAGTGCTGTACAAACACTGACCCAGCCCATCTCCCGCCACCTCAGCAGAGGCAGTGATGAAAGTATCCCCAGAAGGAGGCCTCCAGCCCTCACCGTGCTGTGTGGCCAACACAGGATTCCTCACAACTAGCACAGTGCGTGAGGGGCTGTGTATTACCCGGGAGCCCTGAGTACCGTACAAAGAGCACGTAAGTAACAGAGATCCCTACTTCTGTAATACCGCTGTCCCCTCACCAAGGGAAATCACCGTCGTTATCTTCCTCATATAGACAGGGAAGCTAAAATACTCATCATTCAAACACCAGGTAACAGCTTTGCTGCAGCAAAACTTAGTGCCTCAGTTTCCCCACCTTCCTCAGAGCACCTGACTATGCAACCCACTATCGCATGTGCTGTAAACAGACCTTGCTCTATCCATTGCCAAAATTAACAGCCACAAGAGAACAGCTACCAGCAAAACACAACAGGAACAAAGACTGAAAGGATTCTACTGAAAGGAGTCTCTCAATTCCCATCAATGCAAACCATAACAAACTGCTGCGTCATACATACCCACAAAGCTGCTCTCTGCCAGCTCTAGAGACACAACCATGAGCTACTCTTGATCCAGTTTCAAGCTGCTGATCTTTTACTTAAACAATTAAAAGCCTCCCCAAAAATAAAATGTCCCTGAAGAGAATATGAGGTCAAGGCCACAACCAAATTCACCACTCTGTTCAGTACCAAGGCATTTGTTAGGTGACAGTGTCCATGCAGTCTCAGAAAATAGACTGAACTGGAAAGAGAGGTAAGAATTACCCCAGTGGTCTCTGCCAACTCCCAGCAGAAACACCTATCCTGAACCCAAAGCACACTGTTAGTTTAAGGTTAAGCATGGGAACACATGTCAGTGAGGCACCTGAGAGATTTAATACTACCTGTCCCTGTATCTAACCAATACTGTGTCCAGGGAGGTTGAGAGATCAATGGAATTATAGGCAGAAAACAACAGCAACAGCATTATTCATCTTTTTAATGGGAGTTCAGCTGGGGGCCTTCCCACAGGAAAGGCCTAACTCCTCTGAAAGCCTTCAAGGTGGACAATAACCTTCTGTCCAGTGCCTTCCCCAGGCTAGAGACTCACCAGCTGAAATCTGTGCCCGAAGCTCAGCCACTCCTTCTCCACCAGCACTTCAAAGCCCCTGATAGTCCGGTAGTAGCCATCTAACATGAGCAGAGACAGGGAGGTGAGCTGGGCGGTCCGGTCCCAGCCATCACTGCAGTGCACAACCACAGATGTCTTCCCTGACTCCACCTTGTCAGCGATGCGAAGGGCTCCAGCGAGAATGAGCTAGGGCAAGGGGAAAAATGAAGTTACAAAACCTCTTTGGAACAGAGACTGTCAATGAAAAATGGCCAGTGACAACACAGGGCAAACCAAGGGCTCTGCCTGCCTCAAGGAGAATGGTAAATCAGTTCCAACTATTTTATAACTAGGACAGCAAATTGGTGAACACATCTGCTGTTCCAGCCAGATGACAACACATCTAAGCTGTGGTGTAGGCACAGCTCTAGAAGAGCTATTGCATTAAGCTCAGTCCTTGAAGAGGTCAGGATTTAAAAGCAGCAGCAGTATGTGTCTGACACAAACACAAAAGGCCATCGCCTTGAAACTGCCCCAGAAGCAGGTCTGCCCCTTGTCTGCATTAGCAGGTTGACAATGTAAGCTGGACATTGATAAGAGAGAAAGAGCTTGATTTGAAACATCCAGAGAAGCTGAAGCATTTTGCCCCACTCATTCTGACTCTGCCTGGACTCCTGAAAGGCTGATGGGGCACAAACTCCCAGCACTTACTGGTCTGGAGCATCAGTAGCACCAGGATGTCAAGGATCCTCCAGTCAAGAACTTGGAAACTCTGGGACTCCTGGGCTTTCACTACTATGCATTGCCAGGAACACACTTCACTTCCAAAACACCATCTCTCAGTATTTCAACCCCCAGGCTCGTCCCTCTTCCCATCTCTTCCAAGATTCCGCATTCCATGAAATCGTGGTTTTAGTTGTTTATAGATTTTAAGTCTTCAAATTGCTCATGAATTGAAAAATCCAGCCCTGGAGCTGGCTCTGGATAACCTTTCCCAGTGAACAGACTGGTATTTGTGGATACTGCGCCACATCAGGGGATGCAGAGATGCGTACCTTGATATGCTCTAGCCAGTGAGTTGACTCTAAATTAGACAGCCAGTGAGTCTCCTCAATATTGGGATACACAATTTCCTTCAGTTTTCTCAGTGACTCTCTCATAACATGGATATTGTGAATGTCCAGGAACACTAACTCTGCATTCTGATAGGCATCCTCGCTCTCATAGCCACCTCCTTTAGCCTGCAGAACAAAATCCACATACAAATCAGTAAGCAAATCCGTATTTTATACCTTATCCCCATCGTTTGCCTTGAGCAAACAACAGCTCACAAAATACCAGTGATTGTGCTATCTAAAGCAGGCAGAAAACACTGGATTTATCTTACAAATGAGAACAAACATGTACAGGCACACACTTTGTGTCTCTCTCCTAATGAATGCTGTAATTTTTACCAAAGAATATCACATTACAAGCTTTCTTCTTCTCTGTAATTATCATTTATCCCCATTCAAGCTGTTAGCTCACTAGAGTCACTGTTCTGTCATTTACAGATTTACCATACTGCTCCAGAAGAGTATGTCCCCCACACTAATTGCCTTTCCTAAGCAGAGGGAAAGACAGTTTAAAAATAAGGAAAAACATCAGCTTTAGTGCAACAAAGCAGTTCTGCCATTAAAACAGGGCTTAGAGTGATGGCATGAGACATGCATTTTAAAAGGTAGAAAGGATCCTGGAGACTAGCAACCTGTCAGCCTCACCTCTGTGCTTGGGAAGATCATGGAACTGATCCTCCTAAGAGCTATGCTAATGCACATGGAGGACAGGGAGGTGATTTGGGACAGCCAGCATGAATTCACCATGGGCACATCCTGCCTGACCAACTTAGAGGACTTCTATGGTGAAGTGACTGCATCAGTGGACAGTGGAAGAGCTACGGATGTTGGACTTCTGTAAGGTCTTTAACATGGTCCCCCATAACATTCTTCTCTCTGTATTGGAAAGATACAGATTTGATGGATGGACTATTTGGTGGATGAGGAAGTGGTTGGATGGTCGCACCCAGAGGGTAGTGGACACAAGCTCAGTGTCTAGATGGAGATCGGTGACAAGTGGTGTCCCTCAGGAGATGCAATGACCAGCACTGTTTAATAGCGTCATCAATGACAGACAGTGGGATCAAGTGCACCCTCAAACAAGTTTGGAGATGAACCAAGCTGAGAGGTGCAGCTGACAGGCCTGAGGGAAGGGATGCCATCCAGAGGGACATGGACAAGCTTGAGAAATGGACCCATGAGGCTCAAAAAGGCGCAAGATCCTGCACCTGGGCTGGGGTAGTACCCCGGTACCAATACAGGCTGGGTGACGAAGGGATTGAGAGCAGCCCTGTCAAGAAGGACTTGGGGCTATTGGTGGATGAAAAGCTGGATGTAACCCAGCAGTGTGCGCTTGCAGCCCAGAAAGCCAACTGTATCCAGGGCTGCATCAAAAGGAGCGTGACCAGCAGGTCGAGGGAAGTGATTCTCCCCCTCTACTCCACTCTCATGAGACCCCACGTGGAATACTGTGTCCAGCTCAGGTATCCTCTGCACAGGAAAGACATGGACCTGCTGGAGCAGGTCCAGAGCACCTCTGGAAACAGGCCAAAAGAGTTACGGTTATTGAGCCTGGAGAAGAGAAGGCTTCAGGGACACCTTATTGTGGCCTTCCAGTACTTAAAGAGGGCTTATAAGAAAGATGGGGGTACACGTTTTAGCAGGGCCTATAGGGACAGGATAACAGGTAATGGTTTTAAACTAAAAGAGAGAAAACATTTTTTACAGTGAGGGCAGTGAATCCCTGGACCAGGTTTCCCAGAGAGGTGGTAGAAGAATCATCCCAGGAAACATTCCAGGCCAGGCTGGATGTGGTTCTGGGCAACCTAATCTAGTTGAAGATGTCCCTGTTCATTGAAGGGGGTTATACTAGATGGCCTTTGAAGATCCAGTCCAACCCAAACTGTTCTATGATTCTGTAACAGCAGGAAGAACTCAGCAACATCCCTAGACTTTAAAGATCCCCAGATTCAAAATATAAGATTTTGAAATTATATTTCAAATCAAAGATCATGACACCTGATTCTCAGAAGTGCTGAGTAGCCCCTGCTCCCATCAAGGTTAACAGGGACAGACTTCTGGTGCTTGTTAGAGGAAGCAGTCTTTCAACCACATTAAGTGAAAAATAGTGATAGACAGGGCTCTACAGTTTGACCTCAGAACTACTTTGACTTTTCCCCTTCCAATCTAATCTCATTTCCTGTTGTAGATTAATCCCAAGTGGGCCTTTAGTGGCCACACAGATATCTTACAGATACCAGTGCAGGTGTAAAAGTGAGATCACTGCATAAGATTCTTTTTACAATGGAAAACCCTTTGTGATCCTCAGCAATCATTTGAAATGGTGGTGGAAAATGTGCTCTAAATTATTACATTCCCTCTTTTGACAGGAAAAAGCACCTGACCTTATTGGCTACAGCATTCACACTGGGCCTTGCATCAAATATGAAGATTTTATGGGACTGAGCATTAGAATCCATGATGGCTTGAAGGTACTTTTCATCTTCCTTGCTTCGCTTGCCACTCACTCCCACCATTGGCTGGCTACAGCGAGTGATCGTTGCTTGACTTTCTGGGTGAATCCATGACAATACCTTTGAAAACAAATGAGAAAGAAATGAAGGGAAAATGGGATTCATTAAACCAGTGAAGTGTTTTACCTGTAATTGCTTGCTCTTGGATCCTGCCATGTATTAGCTGTGTCCAGAAGGCAGAATTCTAGTAAAGAACACTTGTGTCCTTACTCATTCTTTGTAGTGGCATTCACAAAGTTTAAACGAACAAGAGGTGACTGAATAAGTTTAAGCCTCACTTTTAAATATGATGCAGACTGTTGTCTTGCTTGAGTCACAAACACACTTCTTTACTGTGCAGTCACTGGGCTATGCCTTACTTTATGTTACACCATGTAAAGTTAGGCACTTTCGGAACAGATTTAATTTTCTATAGACTTGAGAAGTAAACCAGTGTATTTTCAGTTACCACTGAAATGATCATCATAACAATGTGTTTTGTCTTAATTTCATTTAATAAGCATTTTTGTCAAAAGCATCACTAAGTATTCCTCTATCCTGAAAGTCAAGAGTCAGCCAGACAATTGTAAACAGCTAAATAGGGCTGCTTTGTGTTTCCCAGGAACTGAAGTGAGATTCAGTCTGGGTTGTGCTAAGTTATCTTATCTTCTCATTTTGGTTTAGTCTACATCTCTTTCACAACAGTAGTTCCAGCAGATTATGTTGCTAACTCCTCAAACACGTTGCTGTCACTTTTATTATCCATTGACCATTTATTTGTTCCCTGGAATCCACTCAGCCCGATCTTGGTATTATTTATGGCCCAAAGGTATGTAACAAAGCCACATAAAAGTTGCTTCTTTTGTCACACTCACTGGTATGCGTCCTCTTGATCTGAAGGATGCTACTCTCTTTAATTCTTCATCAGGAATGTTTACAGGCACAGCTAGAATGGCAGGGTATGTATCACACAGCTCATAGCGCTCATTAATCTTGGTCAACCTCCAGCTTTCATTGGGAATTCCCTAAAGAGGAAACAACAGCAGGTTAGCCAATGAGTTGCTCTAAGACCTCACTCAGAACAGTCAAATCCCCAGACCTGAAATTCAGGGCAACTTTTGTTAATGAAGGACATTTAGGACTGGAGCCTGGGTCTGCATTATCTTGGTGATTTGCATTTCATGCCTCTTCTCCGAGAGGTACATGTTTTACTTGGCTCACTGAAGAACAGGAAAACTAGAAGACTGCAGATAGGCTCACCTATGGCAAAGAACTGTGAAGACTACAGATGTGGCAACACACATCATCCTCCTGAGGGCATCCTTAACATACCTCCTGGTCTCATCATGGTGCTTACAGGAGATCCAGGAGCAAGACAGAACGGGTGACCAACACTCCTCAGTTCAAACGTGGTAAATGGAAACTGGGGATGCAAAGTGGAGTTATGAGACAGGACGGAGGCAAAGACAGAAAGGAGAACAGGCAGTAAAACACCCAGCTGAATCAGTCTGTTTTGGCATTGTTCAGTGTTTCTGGTACAGCTGTGCAATCCACTAAAAACACCATCAATCTAGCACTGGTGTGTCCCTGGTTGTGTGACTGTATGTGATCTGGAAAGTGATGTGAGACTCTATGTTCCTCTCAGACCAAGCTCCTGTTGTACTAGTTTGGCTGGGAGAGCAGGGAATCTGCACACACATCAAGCTCAGCGTGCCCTGATGAGGAAGCAGCTCAACAGCTTCCCAACTGGTAAGCTCCAGATAACACCTGCAGCACAATGGGGATGATCCTGACAACCTGCAGATTTAGTTTGGCTGATGCTGGGGGTTAACAGATCAAATCAGTGCGGCTGCTACTGTGTGCCCGGAAGGGGAGATTCAAACAGACACTTGCTGCAGCAGGGGTGAGCACCGACACAAAGCATCTCTGCAGCAAAGACAGATCTACTACAGCGAACCAGGCGAGACTGCTAAGCACAGAGTCTGTTTTAGAGGAACATCAGCTCTTAAAACAATACATGCTTCTGTTCTGATTAACAGTACTTTATTTTCAGGAGGGTGGTGGGGCACTGACTGCCACTGTCGCAGCTCCAACAAGGAAATAAATGACAAATGCAGCACAGGTCAGATGAGCTGTGGTAATTATGGTTGAACCCACACGGGCTGCAGCTGGGTTCCTGTCAGAGCAGCGAGTCACGCTGTCAAAACAGGTCATGGTTAGAAATGGGAGGAGACGACTGTCTGATACCGAGCACACATCCTGCTTGTGAGCCACCCCTGATCCTGGGGCCCTCCCTGGGAAGGAAATGTTACTACAAGGAAATCAACAGCTGCCAGAATCATGAGTACTCCAAAACCCTATTTATGCCTGAAGCCAAAGAACTGGCAGAAACAGGCATCAAATATTGTGTATACATAGTCCAAGCTTACTGACGAATAAAACATGCTCAGAGGTGCACAGCCAGCATGGTATCTCCTGGCCCACCAGCTTTGCTGTCCACCACAGAATAGCAAGACTCTTGGTCTTAGCTGTCCATCAACTGTGATCAAACTGGTTACTATCCAGAAGTGACCTAATGGCAAATGACTAAATTGTAATCAGTCCTGTCCTAGTAAGTACACGGCTATACTGCAATAGATCCATCGGCAGCACTTGGGAGATTTCACCTCCCCCAAATCTGAATTCAAACTGCTGTCAGCACATTCGTGCCAAGGAAAATGGGAGCTGACAAGCAGTTACATGGAAGTAAAGCTCCTTTTCATTCTACCTTGCAACTCTACCAGTGCTTACAGAGATCAAGCAGTCACTGGCACTGCAAAGCGTCCTCGCTGTGCTGGGCAGAATGGCTTCAGCATACAGTGCTTGGTCCAGAACCAGCAATAAGTCTTTCAGGTGCACTCTGACAACTTGAATGAAATCTTTCCTCTGCAATAAGAACATCCATGACAAGTCCCCTGTCCTGGTTTAAACCAAGACACCCTCAAAGAAAAAAAATATACTGTGTCAGCATTCACGTTTCTTCTGAGTATCTGCTTTCTGTTGGCACTGGAGCCTCAAATCACAGCACCACTCAAAGAGGGCTTTGGATTCAGATCATGACTCTCTCTAAGGACTCAAAGCAAACAGAAATAAGCTAAGTGGGCTGGAAGAGAAGACAAATTTGCATCTTCCCAGAACATTTGCCATGATGCAGTGTAGGTTCTGCATTTATTCATGCCCCTTCAGATTTGTGCTTTCTCCAGCTGGATTCAATAGAAAAAGCTAAACATGACATAAAGCACACCGGTATTTCCTCAAGATACATTTCACTGCTTCCTGATAAGCTGTAAGCACCTGAAAGTCTACCAGCAACCCAACCCAAACTGTTGTTGATGTAAGTCATGCTGTCATGTTGGATGTTGCCGGGGAAGCTAGGGACCAGGTTAGGAAAGCTAAGGCCCAGTTAGAATTCTATTCTAAGTCAAGAAGGCTCTGCAGGCTCACAACTGGCTCTGGGAGCTGCCTGCCCAGCACCTGAAGCAGGAATCCAGGATTGCCTCACTAGCTGCAGGTCCCAATTGTCCGGAAGCTTCTAGGGAATGTGGCTGCTGGATGTCCACATCAGTGACCAGAGCCTGGTGCACAAGGTCTGGTTCTCCAGGTGAACTAACGCTGCTACTAGACTCTGATGTCAAGAGAATTCATGTGTTCGGTTGCTGCCAGGGGGCAAAGTGAGGAAGGCAACGTGGCCATGTCTATAAATCAAATACGCCCATGACCATTCTCACTTGAGACTGCATCTCACATCCACACTATTAAACTCATTTATTCTCCAAAAAGGGCAGTTTGTCCAAACTGCCTACTGGTGATGGCCTCTGAACTGTGCCCATGTTTGGGAACAGGTGAGCTGGGCTTGCAGTGCTCCCTCTTCTCTGCTCCACCAGGACCTCTTCGAGTTCCAGCTCTGCTATGGTCCAGCTGCACAACCACAAACTGAGTCTGCCAAGGACACTGCAAAGCCACAAGAAAGAGCTGTGTGGAAATCCATAGGAAGACAAGAAATGTGTAACTGCAGATAGAGGAAGAGGATTGCTGAGATGGGGATCGCTGAGCTCAAGGTTACAAGAAGGAAAACAACATCATGAAATGTTTGTGTTAGCCAGTAAGTAACTGCTTCATACTCTCAATCTGCACACGTTTTGGTGGAAAAGTATCTTTGTGCATTACTAAAGATGCTCACACACATTCACTCAAGTGAGGGATGGTAATAACCTGGATGAAGCTATGCCTGGAACTTGTGATGAAGGTACCCCAGTGCTTGGGAACACTCCTTACGACTATCATCTAACCACAGATATGCAGCCTTTGTGGCACCTCCACATGCAAACCAGACTTGGTTTCCCTCTGGAAGGTCATTCATGCCCTACTTTAGTGTCTTGTGCTCAGTTATCACTTGACATGCTGTAGAAGATGGACTTTCTTCACTTGCAGGGAAAAACTGTTGAAGGCACACCAGCATGGCACTGAAACCACCACCTTGCAAAGCACATGTTTAAGCTTAAGCACATGAGGATCTTTCACCGACAGGAAAAAAGCCAATATCCTTGCTGGAATTACACACAATCAAATCTCTGGGATCCAGCAGATCACCTCTGAGCTTAGCCACATCCTGAGCTGCAGTATGCAAGGCAGGCAGGGTCCTGAGTTACACACCAGCAGTGCCTCTCAAAGCTGGTTTGAGCCATGAGATGCCAAGAGGCCGAGCACATTAGCTCAGGCACATCCCTGCACCGACACAGGATACGGCTGCCAGAGCCAAGCTGGTCCCTCTGCCATGTACTCAGCCCAGGTTGTGTCTACCTAGCACAAGAGAGCCGTGATTTGTTTTGCAGTAGAGACATAATGAGCACAAGCAGGACCTCAGCTAAACCATGGGACATTTAACAGGTAGGTGTCATTTTACTCCCCCAGGTTACACCAAACAATCCTCTGTAGGATACTGTTCTCATGCTCTACCTTTGTATGCTTGTATACTAATGCTGGGCACTTCTTTTAACTTCAAAACAGGTCAGCTCCTTTTCTGAATTTCTATATATTTCCTCTAAAAGCAGCCCTATACTTGGCTCCCTGGTACATATAACCAGAGCACATGATTAGACGAGCATGACTTCTGTAAGGAAACATCACACATTTCCCGCTTCACAACCCCTTGTAATATTTTCCAAATGCTCCCCACCTTGTTAAGGAAAATGAAAGCTTTAAGTTACTCCAAAGGCATCTCACGGCCTTTTGGTTTCAACTGAGTCTTATTCACTTTGCAGTTCTGTTTTATACTCTGCCAGCCCACGTGTAATAAAAATCAGGGAGCAATTTCAGTTTTAAATTTCATTTGCCACATGCGATTCCAGTTACCGAACAAATCCCAAACCTCTCTGAGTTCCTTTTGTTCTCCACAGGTTGTTTATTACTCCCCGTGGTTTTATACAATCACAGAGTTTTAATAAGTTACATATTTCCACCTTCCCAAGAATGCCAACAGAGAAGTCAGGGGTTTACTGAGTATCCTTCCTAATTGCCATAATCTCTGCCATCTCAACACACTTATGTTAATCTGAAAATAGAAATTATAACAAATAAATCATGCCACGCACAAACTTGCCATGTCTATGACTGCAGACATAGAGCCTACCACGGATCCTGCCCTGAAAGTCCTTTCTGGATGCCTGGTAGCATGCTTGGCTTCTACTTTTGCTCTGCTCCCCTCTCTGCTCCTGCTCCCACAGGGAAACAACCAACCCAGTCTAAGATACACCAAGCTAATGCCTGGCCATACTGCTGGGCTGTTTATGCCCTAGGCCAGCTCTTCTCTAATGGCTTTTAAACCAATTCCAAAAGGTCCTGCAGATAGTACATACGTCTTGCTTCTCTGTTTCTGGTCACAATTCATACAGTCAGAGGCAGGTAATCCCTTTATCTGATCTGATGATGCCAGTGGTGCTTTACTCTTAACGAATCTCTGCTGCCATTTCAGGACATAATCCTGATTTACTTTAGTATTTGTTATTGCTTTAACAGAACCTGGCTGGATTAAGAAAAAAGGCTAAGACATTCACAGAGATAAGTTGAACATCCGTAGTTATAAATGCTGAAATTAAACAAACAGCCTGAAATACCTAAAAGTTTAGGAGATGACATAAAGCCTCATGCTGCAGGACCTAAATCAATCTAACAAAAGGGATGAAATTCTCCTCCTGGCCAGATCACAACATAAACATCTACTGCAGTATCGTCTGCCTCTTCCTCAGCAGCTGGTGTTGGTCACTTTTGGAGATAAGCTACTGGAACAGATGGATTGTGTGATCTGGAATGGTAATGGCTGTGGCCCATCACGGGTATAATTCAGATAGGCCATGGCTGAAAAAAATCCTGGTTTGGATTCATTTTTGCAGTTACCAATGCAAGCAAATGAGGGTGGGGCTTCAGCAGATGAACGTTAGTTTGGTTTCTTGACATAAAGGCAGTCAGGCACAAAAACGATACAGAAGCAGGTCATAACAAAAGCACACACTGCAGCAGTGTCTCAACTGAAACACGCTTCACACACAACAGTGCTACCTTGAGTCTCATTTTTCTTTACAGAAAGGCCACGAAAAGCTGTAAATCACATGCATGTAAATTTATATATCTTTTCAAACTCCTGCCAAATCTAAGGTGCAGCAAATCCCAATATAAAAACTAATATGGACAGAAAAGCTTGTATTCTAAAAACAGACACACCAAGATTAAGAAATTGGACTAATTTACCTCCAAATTCTCAAGGGTCACCTTTCCTTCGTTCCAGGTATTGTAAGAACGTCTTTTGTACATGATCTGTTTTAACTGAGGCTTGACTGAGTGAATGCTGGGCTTTACAATGAAGATTATTTTGATAGCACGGGTATTCTTTAGTCTTTACTCCAAAGTTATCAGACCTATACAGAAGAATCTCACCCATACAGCTTGGGCTGCAGATCCTTCTCTATAAACAGATCTTTCTTTAAAAAAAACTACCAAGAAAGAGGTGAATTATAAACAGAGCAGCAATTGCTGCATTATCTGGTCTTATTAGTCAAAGTCGACCTTAGATACAAGGTGTGTCACTGATTACAAATGATCAGAGTTTGTCTCTACGAGGATTTTAGGTTGTGGTATCTCACTGCAAAACATACACTTTGCAATGAATACATCTCACTTGCAATTAGAAGCCTAGAACCAGGGACTTATCTTAGGCAGCTATTTCAGGAGGGAACAAATCACCCCCAACAGTGAAGCACTCTCTCCCCATCTGCTAATGACAGGCCTAGATAACCAATTTAGAAGGCATGCCCAGCTTTTAGAAGACAAGAGCTATTAAAATAAATCCTTTCCTTTGGTTTTGGATGCCAGGAAACAGATGAACAACTAGGCTAGGACAAAGATCTGGTTTTGTTCTGTTTGTGGGAAAGGCCCAAATAAATCTTTAAATTACAAGGCTTAAAATATCTTCCTTTTACAAGGGAAAATTGATTTTATCCTGGTAGGTCTGGATGAGATAAAAGTTTATTGTGTCCTGGGCAAATCGTGCTGTTTCTGCCACTTGAGAATTTTACAAGAGTGATCTCACTATAAATAAAATAATTCTCCCATCTTTTCCACCAGGGAGGCAGGACTCCTAATTGACAGCCTGCCACTTCATTAATACCTTTGACCAATCTACCCTGGACGCACTGCAACTGTCTCTTCTAAGCTACTGTACATGAGAACACTCTCTAGGTTGATCTCTATGCTGATTCCCCAAGAAAATTTTTTTTTCCTTCCAGTTTCCTGTTTGAGACAGGAAAAACTGGAGAGAAATAAAACTCATAAAGCAAGAGCTGAGGTGTGAAATTCTACCAATGGGATGCCTGTACCTACAAAACACATCTTCGGTGTGTCATGAGCAGCGGCTCATGACTAAGCCAGAGCAATAGTTTTTTCTACCAAAGCCTAAAGTCAGCTCTCTGCAGCCTGAGTAATCTCCATCAGTGGATGTGACCGTCTCTAAAGCTGTTCTGCTGCCATCAATCACTGCAGTGTGGGGAACAGTGTCCTAACCCAGCCTGCGTGACATTTGTCAGCAGGACCATTGGCTGCTCCATGCGACCTGTAATTGTATTACTGCACAGACTCTCATTTCTGAAGAGCAGAGATGAGGAAGGACAAGGCACAATACCCACCTGTCGTCTGTACTCCCACGTGGGGTCATACACCTTCCACCCATTTTCTGGGAAAACTTCCTTGTACTCAAATGCAAAAAGTGGCTGAAAGAAAGAAAATTTACCGTTAAGAGCCCACTCAGAGCCCATTTTCAGGATGTCTGGTATCTCAAGTAGTAACTCACCGCTTTTAGGGCTCTGTGAAAAAGACTGACACACTTCCTGTAGCAGGCAATTAGTAAAACAATATACTTTCCTCTATACACCTGATCTTGCTTTTCTATTACCTAGAACTTCATGGACAAAAGGACTTTATTATTAGAGAAAGAAAAGACTACTTGGGCAAGAACACTTTTACATATTATAAACTAGATCCTTTCAACCAGTACTTAAAGCAGCAATTGCAATGTTATAATGTGACAGAGCAGACTAACTGCATTCCAGATTCGGGGCAGTGAAAACACTATTAGCTGTAAACCTTTGATGGATATCACTGAGCTTTAAGTATTTTCCCTGTGTTACGAGAGTGTACCAGTAAGTCATTCACTGCGCATGAAGGAATCCAGCCCCACAGTAGCTTTTTTTCCTGTTTTATATACGTTCTAAACTCCTACAGAATCAATTCTAAACCAGATTTTAAACCCAGCATTTCTCCTCCTTCAACAAAATGCACCCACGTGAACACTGTACCAAATAGATGGCACTGAACATCTGTGTCTTTTGGTAAAAACTGAGACGAAAATACTTACCAGATTATTTGAAACTGGGAAAGCATATTTCATGAGGTTCTCAAATATGGACCGCCTTGTTCTCCCTTCAGGCTTGTGAGCAAATCGCAAGTTTCGAATATCCTAGGGAAAAAAGAGGGAAATCAAATTGCAGGTTTCTGAACTACTTAAAGGAAAATCCAAAAGCCAGCATTCAAAATAGGGTCACACCACAATGCTCCTTCTGGTACTGATTTAATATGGCACTTTGAACGCTGCTGTACTGCAACTCTGGGCTTGGTTCAGTGGTTGTCTGCAGACTCCAACAAAGCCTGACACAACTGCAGAGGAGCAGAGGGAGTGCACAGGCACCTGATCACAGTATCTTGCCTTCACATGGCGTTCTCTACCTGCTGAAAGCCTAGGAGAGAGCCCAGGGACAAGCTATCTCTGATTGACAGGACTCTGTGAGACAGACCTAACTCTTACTGGGCTCTCATGCTGAGCTGTGCCAGTAGGCAGCTGGAAGGGACTGTGTCACGAAGTACTCCACACCTACTGCATGTAGGGAGCCAGTTTGGTGAAAAACAACCAACGCCATCTTCCTTTAAAGCTTCCATTTCTGAGCACTCAAGAGAATGTTCAGAAACTGAGAACTCCTCCACTTTGCACAGCAGCAATTTCTACCAAGAGCGGTAACCCAGGACCTCCTTTCACAATCATCTACAAAATCTAATTCGGAAGCTAAATAAAGCATCTCTGAGATGCCAAGATTTTCCAGCCAAGCCTACACCTCAAACTCTTGTAGTAAACAGCTTAAAAGCCACCATCAGGAAAGGAGCTCTCAAGTTCAAGCACACGATGATGGTACAGCAAGTCAGAGAGTAAGATAAACAGCTAAAGACTTAGCTTTCTCACAAAACTGAGATTAGGTAATTGGGCTCAGAGAGAGAACATTTCAGGCTGCATAAGCTGCATCTGTACCATTTGGCTATTGCACTGAACTGCTTTGCATATCCTAGGCCAAGCAGGCTGGCATATATTGTCTACAATGAGTGCAGCTGAAGAACCTTGAAAACTACTTTCAAAATCAGATGGGTTTTGAAGTGTGTGAAATTTTACTGACTGAAATGCTTTGCAGAACTTCCTACAGAGAAAACCTCTTAAAATATATGTTCCCCTTCCCCTCTTGTAAAACACAGATAGAAGTTTACCTTGCATACAATCTCCAGCCCGTAGGAATTCTCACCACGACTGGAAGCACCTCCAATTTTCTCCACTCTGTTGATTACACCTAAAGATGCATCTAGGACAAAAGGAGGGTCCTGTAGACAGTTGAAATTTGTGAGTTTAAAAAGGGGAGGGGGGAAAGTCCCCAGCTCCTGCTCCCTTATGCCTATATTCCCAAATTTATAGCTATGATTTCCACAGAATTACTCTCGAAGAACACCTAGGTCTAAATATTGAATAGCCAACAAAAGGAGATGGTTTCAAAAGCTTACCCGTTCCATGCTTTTAAAATACAGTCTATAATTGGTAACAGTAAGGGTTCCTCTGATTGCTCCAGTGAAGGGGCAGATGTAAGTAACATCCTTCGCTTTAAGAAAAGGGGAAAAAAGAAGTTAATTTCATGGTTAATTTATGAGAACAAAATTATGATAGCAACAATATTTGGAGGCTCTACTTTTCAAAGCATTAAATGAAACAAAGCTTAACCTGGGCTTCTAGGCTAGAGCTAACATTCAAGTTTCACTTCTGTGGAGAAGGTAAGAGTTTGGGTATGAACTGAGCTTCAGGCAAGGATCATCACCTAGAATCCTACCTCTACCCCTGGAAAAAGCCGGTATTTGGCTCCAAACTGTTTGCTCTTACTGAGCAATGCTTTGCCAGTACCTGAGAATATCATACACAAGAAGAGGAGATGATTCCTTGCCTAGATGCAGGCATTTGAAGCTGACAATCATGTGCATAAAAGCTGAGGATCATCCACAAGCTAGTTTGTGCCACCAAGGACAGGAGAAGGAGGTTCTCCTACACTGGCTTTCAGGATGTTTAGGTCCTTCTGCAGACCCCTGCACACAGTCAGCCCTGGGATGAAGGCCTTTGTGCTAAAAGCCAGCAGAGCTACAGCAGCCACGAATCTGTGTAACACCCAACTGCTGGTGATTTTATGTCTGAAGTCAGCGATCAAGTTACTCTGCAACGATCCAATTATTTCTGAGCCTGAGTGATGGTGACTCAAAGCAGTCCCCTTCTTAAAAGGCCTCAAACGTTTCTCACTTGTTCCAGCAAAAGGCAAGAGGTGCTGCTGGTTTTCCACAGCAAACACCTCCCCTAAATGCCCTTCTGGTTTATATCAATTAAAAACACCAACATTTAAGTTGTTCTCCTCCCCCTCCTCGCTGCCCATCATGTTTTCTGCCACTGAAGCTGTTGCCTGGCTGTGCTGTGGCAATGGTTTATGCTATGACCAACAAGTAACAACATCCTCTCAAACACACAAAATTCCTTTCAGGAGAAGACCCATTGTCCAGAGATGCCAGACCCATGAAAGAACTCCCTGGACCATCTTACCCTCAAGCCTCCAAACCCTACAGGATCCAATTTGCAAGAGCTGTGTACAGTCAGGAAGACAACTTGCCTCCCATCCAGGTGGCAGCCACCACGCACAGGAAGCACACTGGGGTGTCAGGATGGGGACCTGTATTTCTTCTACCATTCTCCCATGAGATTTAGCTGGAAGGGAGGGAGGAAGAGAGACTGCCCTGTTCCAGGGCACTGGCAACTCATATAACTAAATCATCCTAATATCAGCTCTGCTTTTGCATAGTCTTTTCTGAGCCTCGAGATTTGGATATGGAGAAAGATCTTTAAAACATCAGGAGTGACTAATTCAGAGCAAAATACAGAGCACAGATATTTTTATTAAAAATAAATCACTATACATATGTGAGCAATTCATCATTTATTTCAATTCACATGCATTTGTTCAAAGGACAATGAAACACAAAATGCTTCTAGCCAGTTCTAATTAAACCAAGGGTTTCGTTATTGGCTGATTATTAATCACTTCTTTTCAAAGACCGGTTTGCAGAGGTTTGAAAGCAGACTCACGAAGCGTAACAAGGGTGAGGGCAGCCTGCCTGGTTTTTCCCCTGGAGTTCCCATTGCTCAAAATGGAAGTTCAAAATGTTTTTAAAAACCCCACAACAAAATCTACTGATAAAAGTGTGCATTTATATCCAAAAGAGAGCAGGATTTCTGAGTAAAGGTGCTAGAAAAAATGTTTTCCAGGTAGGAAATCCCAGGCACGATCCCAAACACCAGCCTTGCCAGCCTGTAAGCCAGTGCACCTTTCACATTTGCATTTTATTAGCTTGGTTTCCTAAGGAAACAATTTTACTTAATTACACTGCACATGTACATATGTACCTACATGGCTTGTCTGACCTTAACCCGGCCATACTGTATGATTTCAGCATTCTCTGATAAACAGGGATCTCCAAGGCACTGAAGCGCTTCACTGTTTGTGAGAATGGATGCAAGGTATAATAGAAAGGTTGTATTAGTGCTACCACCAAGGGAAAGCCTAATAAGCTCAGTCTTTGGTAGATACAAGAGAATTCATGTGGGAGAAAGATACTAGAAACTGGGATTTACTAATTCCCCTGCTTATGAAATTCCTGTCTTTTCAGAGCCAATCTTTCTCTAGGTTACTGGGTTGGCTGAAACAATATTTTTTCCTTTCCCTGTAAAATACAAAGACAATTTCATTTGCCTTTCTTGACACTTTTAACAGGAAATAATTACTGCTGATGAATAACAAATCGTTCTCTTTTGCTGCCTTTGACTTTTTGCTGGACCGGGCAGCTGCTGTCTGGGAAACTCCAAAAGCCACTCAGTCTCAGACTTGCATGGCTCGTCACATCATTTGTCAACAGATAAAGCACTGGTAACTCTGATCTCTTACACTATTCCCCAGGAACCAAAATCTAGTGTTGCTGTCAGAGCTAGTTGCGCCTGTGGACAGAGTTAGGTGTTGGTCTGGAGTGCACGGTTGAAGTACGAGTTCAGTGTCCCTAGGAAAGGAGTGGAGAACGGGACTGGGCATTGAGTTGACAGGCTTTTGCCTTTTTTCCCCGTTGTTGTTGTTGGGTGCATTTTTTTGGTGAGGTATTTTTATATTTTTTTATTTTTAGGACTGATATTGCACTCTTCCGTATCATTTTAAGAGCAAGGTAATACAGTAAACTAGTGAATGCAAAATCCTCCACAGAAAATTAATCTAGAGGCCTTACTCAAACTTTCGGAATGGAATGCTTCAGCAAACATGGCACATGTCAGACTGGCTGGATGAAAAATAGCAACAACAAAAACCCATCCCTGTATCACAGGAAGTTCCCTGCCACAGCACTGTATCCTCTCCTTCAGTCTGTGACAGAGACTGGGTACACAATTGTGTTGTGTCAACATAAGAAGTTACCCTGTGGCAAAACAACTTGAAACAGTCAATCCATGTCTTCTCAGGAGGCAGCAAATGCAAAGCTGTACAACCCACCTCATTCCTCATGCTAAGATACATTGAATTGCCTTGTAATTGCTACATGGTAAGGGAAGACAGTTACCTTGGCTCATGCCATGTGCATTAACTTATGAATGAAGCAACCTGATTGTCGTTCTCAGAACATCAGCAATTCGCTGACACTGATGTCAATGACTGCCAATATATTTTGTTCTATGGATATTCTATTTGGTTAGCAAACAACAAGAAATTTCCTCTTCACGTACCCATATCTTTAATGGTCTCCCCTGGTAGCAAAGGTGGCTCTTCCATTTCAGCCAATTTATTTGTCTCCCTCAGGACCTAGACAAAGCATAGAAGTAGAAAAAGAAATTAATTACATTTTCATAAACCAAGAAGTTTGCACTTACCTGCAATGGGTCAACAATACCAAGGAAAACAAATATTCAAAGATCTTGAGGTACTACCTGGTGTCTCAGCCTCTGAAAGGCCAACACAAAGCCTGCTTTGTGAGAGACCTCAATGCAGTCCTCAAGCACAGCACTGGGCCATGCACAAGCGTTTAAAGCAAGGATGTCTGTGTCGGAGATGCTGCTCAAAGCAGGCTCAGTGCTTTGGTGGCACACTTCCCCACATGGCTGCCTTCCATGCCCTAACCTTTTCCTCACCAGTCCGTCACAACAAGTCAAACTCTCTCACAGTTACATACAGAACCAAAGGGATCAGTTCCTTTCCCCAGTGATCAACTATTACCGTTGTGCTATCAACTGTTACATAATTTCTAGTTTACACTGAGGAAAGATCACATCACTGTCTTCAATGAGGGTCCAACTACTGCAAAAATCCTGATTTGGCTCTGTAGGAGTGACTTGTTACAAAGGCTGGCTTTTGACAGGCATGAATAGGAGGTACCGTTTTGAGTGCCCAACTGACTCCTCCTCTTTCTCTTGGATTGAGATTATACCACAGAACATTACATTTCACAGATATGGCTGCATTTACACAAGGGTTATCACAAGCTTATAGACATTTTAGGAAAGCACAGTTATAACTATGAAAGCACAGCCTGAGGTCTAAACCTATGGTAAGAACTAGGGGAGAAGAGCGTATGTAAGTGACCATGATTAAGGCTAAGTCTGTGTGGCCAAATGCAGACAGATTTAATCATATTGCCCATGCCCTGAAGTTGCCAAATGACCACAACCACAGCAGCACACCAGTTGCACAACCTAGTAACAAAGAGAACAGGTTAGTTAGTCCAGACTCTGCCTCATCATGTAGCAACCACAAGACTTTGGGTTGAAAGCTGGCATGCATCCCACCTGGTGGAGATAGGCAGAGAGAGCTCATGTCTGCTCAGAACTTGATGTGCAGACTCACCCAAGATGCTTTCTCTATCTTAATGTGAGGAAAGAGAAAGAATTGTTTTAATTTTCTAACAGGAAACCCCTGCAAAGAAAATTCAAAGACATGGCCTAAAGTGGCACTCCAAAACCTGCCACGTCTGTGGTCAGCTTTCATGTAGACTCAAGCAAGAAGGAGAGCCTCAGGGAAAAAAATTCTCTAAACTATGTAAAAGAATGAAAACAAACCCCAAAGAAACACCACGCCACAGCAGAGCATGTTCCAGCATTTTCACACAACAGACTGACATATAGATGAAAAGATTAACAAGATCAAAGTCTTCTTGGGAACAAGATGTGCATTTTAGAAAACACATTCAAAAGACTCTTAAAAAAGATAATAAAAGCAAATACAGCCCTGGCTTCTCAACAGGAACTTCACCACTGCACCCACTTAGGCCAGCTCTTACCAGGGACGCTTGGGGTCTGCAGCATGGGTAAAGGGGGGTCACTGTTGACAGAGCTCACACTAGCAGCAACTTGCAGGAAAGCTTCTGCCCCCATCAGCAATACCAATAAAAACAAGGTTTTGCTGGTGCAACGAGCAAAAGTCTATGCTGAGGTCTTCTTAGCACAGCTGTATTGGCCGAAGATCACAGACCCCATCAAAGCCCTGACTGACAGCCTCCCTGACAAAAGCCTGGGACGCAGACCTGCTCTCAACTCCTGTGTGTCAACTCTGCGCTTGAGTAACAGCCTTGAAATTAACAGGATAACATCTGGATTATGCCAAATGAGATGGGGTCTCACTGGCTAATTAGTCTGTAAGTGGTGGTCATCTTTGTGGTCTTTTATCTTGGAAGGACATTAGTAACAACGCACTCCCCACTCAGGACAGGATCAGGATGTCTTTGAGAAGGTCCATATGCCAAGTGGGCAGCAGCTGCTGCTAGGATCACTGCGGTCAGCAGCTGGACCCACTGCTCTCTTGCAGATGTCAGCGGGAGCTCAGCCAGCGGTAAACATTTGGGGGGCTGGGTTACATCTTAAGCCAAAACAAATATGAGGTAAGATACATAGAAAGCATTCAGTATGACAAACTAGGTGGTCAGTGCTCAGATGGGCTTTAAACACTGTACTGCATGTGGAGGAGAGAAGGAGGGAAGAGACAAGCAGTATAAAAGACAAAGAGCTCCATGTCAACACCACTCTGTAAAGACAAGGTTGAAAGCTTTCTCAGTTTAAAAACTGGCTCTTCCAAGTCTAACAAAATCCATCTGCTCACTCACACTCTCTGAAACGTGGAGTCCCCAGGGTCAGAGGAAAGGGTTAGCAACCCAAACCTCCACTCACTTCAACACAGGGCATCCTGCAAGCACAGCACTTCAAGGTAGACAGCTTCTGTCCCCTTGCCTCAAAACCCACTTCTTTTTCCTTTCTTTTCCCTTCTCTTTCCCTTTTTCTTTTCCTTTCCTTTCTCTCTTTCCTTTCCTTTCTCTTTTCTTTCCTTTTCCTTCTCTTTCCCTTTCTGGTACAGAGTTGAGGACTAAACTCATTTTCATCACCTCTCAGCTGACCTCAGCCCCACGACCTACCTCAGGTAACACAGCCCTGACTGCCTCCATGATGATTTCAAAGTCAGTGCAAGTACTTCAGCCCTGGATAAGTCATCCTTCCCAACAGGACGAGACAGGCATGGTCAGAAAGCGCAGGATAAACACTTTCCTGGAGTGCCAGTCTGCAGCATCTGCCCAGCTCTAGACCTTGAACAAGCCTCCTAGCTGGAATGTGAACTCTTGAAACCAACCTTGGCAGAATCCGAGACATGAACAGTAGGCATTTTCCTGAAATCCGGCTCCTTCAAATTGATTTGGGGAAACACAATCTGCGTGCAGCTGACAGTGCAGGCAACAGGCAAAGGAGAAGACATCTGGGGCAGTGCTAAAGGGCAGCAGGTGGTAGGATGGAGGAAAAGTGGGTGGGTAAGGAAAGATAAGTTTTGGAAATAGATCAAAAGGAAAGAATGGGATGAGACAATGTACATGGAGCTCTGGGAGGATGCTAACACCATAGATGGACCGTCTGCTCCTTATATGACCAAGGAGATGACATAAAAAGCCCTTCCATCTTACTGCCATCCTCCCCTTTCTCCGCAGATCAATAAATGGTTTATTAAACTGCGAGAAGAATCTATTTTGGTACATTAGCCTATTTTGAAGACTCTAAAAATAACACTCTTGGGCCCAGATTTAGCACTCTGCAAGTCCTGCAAAGTGGAATTAAGAGCTCCAGTGACGCAAGGAAGCAAGTAGGGGAGCCAGAGACACGACTGCAGCAGCTCTGCTGCAGGAGAGTGACAGCTGGCTATTTATGTACTATCGCTATTGAGGCAGGTGCCATACACCTCTGCAACTGAATGCTCCACCTCTGTGTGCCTCAGGCGTCTCAGCTGTTTCCTGGGAACAAAACTAAAGAGTGCTTACACTGTAATGAAGGTTACAGCCACAGCTGGGCAGAAACAGCATTACTTCGGAATAGGACCACGCTGACATAGAGCCACGCACTGGCCGTATCTGTCACAACCATCACTAAGATGGTTTCTGTAAAAAAACAAATACAACCACCAAAAAATCAGCAGACTACACTGCTTCTAAGCTAAAGATCTTTGTTTTATTTCCCCCACAGAAACGTTATGCTTGGTAACTGAATCTCTGGGGGAACAGAGAGTTTATTTACACACCAGAATAACCTTTATTTCTGTCTTCTTTTACCAAATGACATCACCTACCCATTCCACCCATCAGCAGCTCTCCCTCTACATAAAACAGCCCTCTGGGATGCTGAGCATGGAAGTACCTTAGCACCTAACACAAGTCCTGCCTCAGCTCAGAGAGGGTGTGAGGACTTCATGCCAAACACCTACCTTTGTTCTCCCCTCAAGCAGTGACTTGGCAGAACAAACCCACACTTGCCACATTTAACAATTGCTTCTCTTACTCCAGGATCCCACCTGTGTTAGCTCAGCCCACTTACCCATGCTGAAGGTGCAGAGCTCTTATGCCCTCCCACCCACAGCACCCAAGGCAGGGAAACCCTTATGCTGCATTGTTGGCACAACATGCAGATCTCAGCAACAAAACAATCTCCTTTGCTTGCATGTATGGGGTCAGAGGAAGAGGTTTCGATCCTGCTGAAAAGGTAAGCCTGAAAGGGTACTGCAGTTCCAAGCCCCTCCAGTTCCAAGGCGTGTTCACACTGCCTCCTAAAGCAGCAGCCAGCATGCTGCTCAAAAACCCTTCTCCTGATTGACGTCCCCGCACAACTCATACACATAGCTCATCTCAAGCAGTGACAGCCAACTCAGAGTGGTACAAAGTAATACTGCACTCTAACTCTAAGCACAGGGTCTCAGAGGTCTGTACAACGCTGAACACTGTTCCAGAAGGACCTGGGAGGGTGCATGGAACTCTGAATTCAGGGTTTGCTTTTGCCTGGGTAGAAACCAACTGATCTATTTTCTTCTTGTGCTGCTTGTGAGGTGTTTGCCTACCAGCAGAGCTGCACAGCCAGGATGACAACACACATCAATGCTGGCTGAGGCTGAGCCAGGACTGCCTCCTCCTCCCCAGCCTGCCAGGGCTGTAATAGCTCCCCTATCTAGTTCAGTCAGGATGCCTCAGTTTGCTTAATGGCTTTTTTAATGGATGATTTTCCATAAATTGGATCAGTTTGCCCGGACTGGCTCAGGGTATGACTACATGAGCAGAGATGTAAACCCAGGGCAACAGAGGGAGGGCAGCAGGGACTGACTAGGGACAGCAGCTTTGCCCTTGCACACTGATGTCTGCAGCACAAACCTCCAGATAACACAGATGGATGAAGAGAACACCCGAGGTCCCTCCCAGAAATTTTCTCTTCATTCTTTCCTACTTTCTCCTGAATACTTGAGTCCAGAAACCCACAAAGGTCAGGCTTTTTGGCTTTGTGTTACCGAATTGC